TTAATGCTAGTAGCTTTAGTTAGCTATATTAACCCTATAATGTGCCGTGTGTGGACAGTGTTTATGGTTTATGAATGCGGGAGAAGAGGCTGTTTGTTGTTCCTCTCAGGTCCAGAGCACAGCATGGATGCCGCAGCAGTATGTGATGCAGCCGACAGTAAGTGACCTCTGACCTTTCCTCTCTCTATGACCATTTACAGACACAAGCCTTAAAGGTACAGTAGCAGAAACAGCTTCCTTAATTGCATTAGAGGCTGATAATAATAATGAAAACCTAATGACTGTGGGAAAATGTTTCCTGCTCAGTCTGACTGATTCTGAGACGACTTGAATTGCTAAATTGCACATGCTAAAAGTTTCACAGATGCATTTCAGAATATCTGTATGAAAATATGTGACAATATCTCAGAGTTTGTGCACCTTTCTGAGAGCAGAAAATGAGAGTTTTAGACTTGAGTTAGTTAGCTGCTGATTCAGTCTTATTCTCCTATAAACTCCTGTAACATGCTCCTCATGCTGTTTCTGGAGTGTTTGCCGTGTTAAAGTCATTGATTGAAATGAAACCAGACAGACGGATTGCTTCAGATCAGCCAACCATAACCCACGGTTATATGACATTCACTAAATCAATATCAGTGTGTTCTGTGCTGAAGTTTCATTTATTTTTACACGACACAAACTCATCGACTTGACAGTAACACTTTCTGGAGAACGGGCTCGTGTGGATGTAGACGTCCTTTTTTATTTCTACAGGAAGAACACAGTGTTATCAATGAGAAAAAGAAAAAGGACACTGCCAAAAATCTATATCTTTATCTGGTTTTCAACTTAAAACAAATCTCTACCGATCCTTAAAACAATAGATTCACTTGAAGCAACGCTGCTTATGGTATTAAGACTTGTTTTCGGACATCAAACTTTAGGTATTTTTTTTAAATGTTTGTGTTTTGTCTTATTGCACTGAGATTTTAACTCGTTTTGGCTTGTTTATGCTAATTTAAAAAAAAAATGCTTGTACAGAAAAGCTAATTATAGAATCTATAAAAACAAGTCTTAAGTTGTTGTGCAGTTGTGCTTCCCAAGTATCATTTTTTAGATGTTTTAACTGAAAACAAGCGAAAAATGACTAATTAGGAGCTTAATAAGAAGTCTTTTTTGTTTTTGCAGTTGGTAAATAAATAAGCTAAATGTGTGTGTTTTCTGTCTGTGTGTATCTGTAGGGAGCGCTCATCAGTCCAGCTCTAGATCACAGCACTGTAATGACTCCACTAACACAACAGATGAGTCCGCTGACACTGGGGACCTCTGCTGATGTGGGTTTATATGTTGTCTGCTCTGATTCCACATTTACTCAACACTAAATATCACGAGAACATCACCTGTGTTTGGTCACTGTACAGTACAGTCAGATGATATAAGTGGTTTTTGGTCAGAATAATATATATCCGACTTAACACCACACTATATACCAGACTAAAGACATGACTGTATGCAAGATTATATAGTGGCCTATATCCAGACTATATATATCCTACTAAAAATTTGACTATATACCAGAATATATACCGGACTGTATACTCAACTATGAAATGGACTATAAGGCAGACTATATACCAGATTACATAACAGAATATATACCCGACTGTCTACTGAATTATATACCAGACTGTATATTGAACTATATACCAGACTATCTTCAACGCGGAAGTAAGCCTATGGGAGAGATTTCCGGTCCATTAGCTGCTGTAGGGAAATAACGAGAAGAATAACAACATGCAGTAAACGGTAAAGCTGTTTGCACTACAAACCAGTGTGTTCATAATTAAGATAATACATTAAAATAATATGGTAAGACACACCAATTTGCAATATCAAGCAGCAAAATGAGTGGTTTTGTACAGCTAAAAATTGCTGGAAGCAAATGAGACCGGAAGCAAGACCAGGTCCATTTTTACAGGAAGAATAAAGTGGATATACTGAACTATATAACAGACTATATACTTAACTATATATCAGACTATATAATATATATAACAGACTGTATACTTGACTATATAACAGGCTATATACTGAGCTATATATATCAGACTATATAACAGGCTATATACTTAACTATATATCAGACTATATAATATATATAACAGACTGTATACTAGACTATATAAAAGACTATATACTGAACTATATATCAGACTATATAATATATATAACAGACTGTATACTAGACTATATAACAGACTATATACTGAGCTATATACCAGACTATGTAACAGAGTGTATACTGGACTATATAACAGACTATATACTGAACTGTATACAATATTGTATACCGACTCTATAACAGGCTATATACTGAACTATATACCGGACTATATAACAGACTATATACTGAACTGTATACAAGATTGTATACCGACTATATAAAAGGCTATATACTGAACTATATACCGGACTATATAACAGACTATATACTGAGCTATATACCAGACTATGTAACAGAGTGTATACTGGACTATATAACAGACTATATACTGAACTGTACACAAGATTGTATACCGACTATATAACAGGCTATATACTGAACTATATACCGGACTATATAACAGAGTGTATACTGAACTGTATACAAGATTGTATACCGACTATATAACAGACTATATACTGAACTGTATACAAGATTGTATACCGACTATATAACAGGCTATATACTGAACTATATACCGGACTATATAACAGACTATATACTGAACTGTATACAAGATTGTATACCGACTATATAACAGGCTATATACTGAACTATATACCGGACTATATAACAGACTATATACTGAACAATATAGCAGACTATTTAATGGACTATATAACACATTGTATACTCACCTATATAACAGACTATATACAGTACTATATAACAGACTATATACTGAACTATATAACAGACTATAAACTGAACAATATAGCAGACTATATACTGGACTATATACCAGACTGAAAACCGGATATACACCCAATTTGAAAGTAGTTTATGTTTGTCATGAATCAATGTGAATCAGTATGGCGCTGGTGTACTTTAAACCTGAGAAATGCACAGAAAAGCCTGTGAGAATTAGAGAGAAGCTAAAACAGGTACAGAGTAGAGCAGTGTTTCCCAACCAGGGTGCCTTGTAAAAAAAACATATATATTTTAAATATTTTTAAATTGCTAAAATGTTCAAAAAAGCATCGCTCCACTCGTATACCGCTCATGCTCATCGGAACAGCAAGGTCCACTCAAAAATCCAAATTATCATATCGAAGTTAGAAATTCAAGTATTGTGACAAAATAAATTTTGTAGGGTGCCACAAATTTGTTAAAATTTCCAAAGGGTGCCGCGACTAAAAAAGGTTGGGAAACAGCACTGTGACACTGAAGTAGTTTACGCTGTGCTCCTGTACAGAAAGTTAATCACCTCTTTAACTCCACTCATTAGCACTGCTCTGTGAGACAGCTGAACCATCCATCACACACACACACACACACACACACACACACAAAAGACAGCGTGATCTGCACTGCAGCTCTCGATCACTCAGTGTCCTCTGCAGGATGGTAGGAGAACTGCAGGTGTGTGTTATCCAGTGCTGATCTCTGTGTGTGTGTGTGTGTGTGTGTGTGTGTGTGTGTGTGTGTGTGTGTGTTTGTTTCAGTATATAACGGCTCCAGCTCGTGTGGCCCCTATGCAAGGAACATTCATCCATCAGTTAATGCCGGTATCTCCTGTAGAGGTAAATCATGCATGTTTCATGAGTTACATAAATACTAGGGCTGCACAATTGCACTGCAGCTCTCGATCACTCAGTGTCCTCTGCAGGATGGTAGGAGAACTGCAGGTGTGTGTTATCCAGTGCTGATCTCTGTGTGTGTGTGTGTGTGTGTGTGTGTGTGTGTGTGTGTGTGTGTGTGTGTGTGTGTGTGTGTGTGTGTGTGTGTGTGTGTTTCAGTATATAACGGCTCCAGCTCGTGTGGCCCCTATGCAAGGAACATTCATCCGTCAGTTAATGCCGGTATCTCCTGTAGAGGTAAATCATGCATGTTTCATGAGTTACATAAATACTAGGGCTGCACAATTTGGGCAAAAGTTAATTGTGATTGTATTGTGTTTTAAAATGCCAAAAAATATATATATAATAATAACTTTGCTTGTTTTTAAGACTGAACAATTTGGCAAAAACTGTGTGATTATATATCAATATGACAATAATAATAATAATACTGTATGTTGTTATTATTATTATTATGCACAATTTGACAACAAATTGAGATTATATATCAATCTGTCTATAATAATAATAACAACGATAATTATTGTATTATAATTATTATTATTCAATAATAACTTTAATTACTACTAAATTAAAAATATTACGCAAAATAACAATTTACCATTCTAATATTTCACTTTAAAATAAAAATCAAGCATTTAAGAAACAACAACAATAATAATAATAATAATGTTATTGTACAGTACAACTGTAAAATTACAATACTAATATTTTGGGCTATTGTTTGAAAATATTTTCATTTTCGAACATTCAAGCTTTTATATTGCTGTTATATTTTGTTGACAGCGGAAGGTTTATAAAAACGTACTACAAGTTTGGGAAGATGTTTGGAACATATTGCATTCCTAATTTCTTATTATAAGCAATGCATATGTAGAAATTAACATTCATATTCGGTATTAATAAATTAACTAAATGCTGAAAACTTTTTGATAATGCTCTAATACACTTGTTGTAAAAAAAATATGAATATATTAATAAATGCTGTAAACATTTTTCATTGTCAGTTCATGATACCTAATGCATTTGCTAACGGCAACTAGCCTTACTATAAAGTGTTTTGTTTATTTAGACTTAAACTTTTTAAACATTTACTGCGAGCAGAGACAGTCGGATCATGAGCTGCTCATGTGTAAATGAACACAGTGCCATGCTTCACTCTGAAACACAGCGTCTAATATCGTTTAATTAAACTGCAGCCTTTATGAGGATTTCCTGCGTGACAATGTCACTTCCTGTTCTCAGGGTGTAGTAACAGAAGCTCCCTCATCACAGGATGTCCATGTAGCACGGCAACAGATCACCATGGACACCAGCGACCACATTCAACCCTGCTCCTACCAGTCCAAGTGCGCACTACGTCCTGTGCACTGCACCCTACACACTATCAACTTCACAAACATGACAAAAGCAACACTAGCCATCCATACAGCCTTAACTTACATGCAACCTGACCACCGTACTGGCCTTTCATATTCTTTTTACAATGTCATGTTTACAATTAATTAAATAATTAATCTGAGTTTACATACTAACAATACTATTATTTGCTAATGAAATAAATGCGATATTAATACATTAATTTAATGTACCCTGATGACCTTACAGGCCTTTTATATGTTTGGTCAAGACTGAAATAAAATTGTTAACGTTAGTTAATGTGTCATCTAATACAAATCATTAATCTAGCTATAAAATAATATTAAATCAATTAAATATACTAACTTGAAATGTCTTAGTACATGTAGAAATTAAGAAATAAATGCTGTAAATGTATTGTTTTTATAATGCCTTAATATAAATGTTGTGTGAATATATATAATATAAATTTTGTAATATATTTGTTAATAAATTATTCATATCAATGCTTCATATAAATGTTGTGATACATTTTATTAATATACTAATACATGTTTTAAACTAGTTCACAATACCTGTTCATGCATTAACTAACGTTAACAAGCATTAGTGTTTCATTTAGTTAATTTACTTTACAAACTCGTGGTTTTTGCTTTACAGTTTCATTTGTGCACCGTAGATGCATTTCTATCTCGATGATTATGATTTTGTGTTTTATTGTCAGATAGCATCCTGGAGAGGTGAATGTACATCAGCGTTGCCTTCTGATGGACGCTCTGCACTCAGATTATGGACACGCAATGAACTTCCAGGTGACCTCAGCACCAAAAACACTGACTTGACTCATTCCCCACCTGGACTGTAGGACACCGCAGGGCCGCTTCATGAGCTGATGATTGTTTTTTTTTCTTTGTCTGTTGGACTGAAGCTCCTTCAGAGAGTTCATAAATATGAAAACATTGCGTTGATGGATGCGGATATGATGTACAATGATAAAGAAGAACACGTATCGTCTTCCTCAGATATTAAGCTATTGCATCTTTATATTCTGTTGATTTTCTTCTGTCAAGTGTTGGTTTTGTAGGAGTTTACATAAATCTCAGTTGCCTTAATTTTGAATACATTTGAATTATGTTTAATATCCGGTATCGTGTGTTAATCATGTTGGGACTGAATCCTGATATCACCTTTTCTTCATTTGAAGAAAAATGAGGTAATTATAATTTTCCTGAATGCATTGCATTTTACTGAACATTAATTTTCACAAAGAGGGAAAAACAGTACAGCAGTTTGCTGCAATTGATAAACATTCGTTTTTTGGGGGGGGGGGTTCGTTTTCTAATTGTTTGTTTGTATCAATTTTGATTTATTTACACATTAGATTTCAACCAAATAATAATTAAAAAATTTTTTTAATTTTTTTAAATATTTGATCATTTTACGCATGTTTTTATATACATTTCTTTCATTATAGATATTATATATACTTTTAAACCTTAATTTTTTTAATTAAGTTTAAAGGAGACATATCATGCCCCTTTTTACAATAAGTAATATAAGTCTCAGGTGTCCCCAGAATGTGTCTGTGAAGTTTCAGCTCAAAATACTCCACAGATCATTTATTATAACATTTTGAAAATGCCTATTTTGAGTGGAAGCAGAAACACGCTGTTTTTCGTGTCTGTCTCTTTAAATGCAAATGAGCTGCTGCTCCCCGCCCCCTTTTCCAGAATAGAGCTGCGGCATTACAGCTCGTACCTGCTAAAAACATCTGCTTTGGTTCTGATTTTCATGTTTATCGTGCTGAAGTCATGCGTTTTACACCATATGAGTTTAAACTTCTGATACACGGTTTTCTGAGTGCACGCATCTGAAGCACACGCACAGAAAGCGGCTGTCACAGCATGAGTACTAAACTAAGTTCTCATTCACACACAAGTTTACCTTAAAAACACACATGAGTTACAAAAAACAGTCAGTTATGTCTGTGAAGGTAAACAGCTGGGAAATAAATCACGTTTATTTTAGATCAGTGTGGCAGCAGCAATATGCAGTAAATAAATCAATAAATGCACTGCTCTGTTGTCTCCTCTGAGGCTGGGACTCTAAATAGTGTTCTGTGCTTGTCTGTGCAGCCAAACACAGAAGAGTTAGCATGCTTTGCTCAAACTTTCTCCATGGCATTAGAGCTGGTGCACCGTTGTCTCTTGCGAAAACACAATGACGGCGCCGTGGGTGGAAACTTACAGATTAAGGGGCGGTAATATTATAATGAGATCCCTTTGCCACGTCACCAAGGGAGCGAAATCTGACGCGCTC